CACATTCCTCTTCTCTTGGGAATACATTTGGTCTTCTATTCTGAGGAGTCACAGCCACCAGGGGTGGTGCATCTGGAATAGCTGTCCCCCGAACAGACTTTCTTCAATGCACTGTCTCAATTTGCAAATGTGTTTACCCTTTATAGTTCTTTCCCCCTTAAAACCTTCTCAGCACATTCTCCTGTACCTATGCCATGAGAGGTTTCCTCTGAACACACGCATCTTCCACCTTTAACAACAATCCCTAACTCTAACGGCTTCTGCTTCTGTCCAGATGTCACTCATTTTCCTGCTTCTGAAATCGAGATTTCACTTGTCACCGGCTTCAGATTCCTCATTGCAATGAGTTTCCACAGCCTCCCTCATCTACTTCCTAGTCTCAGCAACTAAGTATAGAACCGAGAAGGAATTAAAAATGTAATAAAATTCTGACTACCACAAATGACCTAGTTACATGGTATGGAATTGCAGACAAACCTAGTCAGTTAATTTTACAGTAATTTAGAGAGATCTTTGTCACATAAGGAGGAGCAATGAAAGACAGAGTGAGTCAATCATCCATGCCTGAGATCCAAGCCGGGACAGCCAACTATCACACAGACATGATGTTCCTATTAGTAAATATTTATCCCCTCATTAAATCATTCCTCATTATTCTACAAACTAATAGTACTGGGAAATACTCTACGGACTAAATTAAATCCTAAGTGCCTAATGACTGAAACTAGGCAGAGCATAGAATCCCTCCTCTCTCCCTTGTTTCCAATTGTACTTTATCCTATTACAGAGGCCTGCTAACCCTCTTACTTCCTGTCTCCCTTTATTCTACTATAGCCTGTGACCTACGACTAAAAGAACTCTTTGGAATCACAGGTCATCACCTCTATGTCATCACTTCAGTGACAAATGGCCATGAATTATCTGTTGAAATTAATCATGTCTAGTCCATCATTCAACACTGTCCCAGCTTCCCTCCCCGCTCCCTTCCCCATGCCTCACCCCATGCATGGTCTCCCTTAGGCGTGACCGTCTGTACTCTGTGTCCCTACTTTTGTAAAGCTTTGCATATCTCCTTTTAGACGCCTTCTTTTTTTTTTTTAACCTTCCTTTCCTTTGTTAATTGTGTCTCATTCCTCCCACTCGCCTCAGTAGATGTGACGATGTTTGGGGGACAGTCGACTTTAGATTTTTAGATTTGTGTTATCTCATAGTACAGAAGTACATGTTAGGACCGTCATCATAATAACAGCAGTGCTAAATTGGATTGATGTCAGTATTCGATTTAGTTTGGTTTAGTTTAGTTTAGTTTAGTTTAGTTTAGTTTAGTTTAGTTTAGTTTAGTTTAAATCCACTAGTAACTCCTGTATTTCACAGCAAAGCTCAGAAACCCACTCTCCAGAGGAAGGAGGAGATGAGCATTCAATCAACCCCACCACCTCTTTTGCAGCTATCCTGTATTACAAGGCTTGCTGGAGAATCCCAGAGTTGTGTCAGTCTGAAAGCTGCAGTGTAGAAAGGCAAGAGGAAGCGATTAGCACGCCCTCCCCCTTTCCTAATGGCTTCTACTATAGGAAGAAGTGTCTAGAAGGATATTTAAATTAAGAATAAAATTTTAGTAACCATGATTTTAATTGCACACCAACGACAAAAAAATTTTTTCTTCCATTGTCTAAATAGAAGAAAGGCTATAATACACACTGTCTGTTTTTCTCAGAACTCAGCTATTAACCTTTAAGATTCCTTTCTGGGGTAAAAGCTTCTTTCCCTGGGGGAGGGGGGAGGGAGAAATGTGTCTGGAGACTAGACTTTAATCTTCTAAGAAAAATGTAACTCCTTTCCTGGACGACACTGAACTCCAAAGCCTGATATAAAGCTGTCAGCACAGTATTTTAGACACTGAGAGATCAGAGACTCTTCCCCAGTTTGGAAAGTTAAAACAATAATTTTTAGAAGTCACACACACAAAAAAATCTACCTCCTTCTCCAACAGGCAAATATACATTCAAAACACCCAATCTGATTACTCAACAGCAAGTCACAGCAAACACAGGGGAAGATGGGGCTGCTGTTTCCATGGAGATGACTTGCCTTGGTTCAGCTCTTCTGGGAATGAAACCAAATCCCCAACAGCAGGAGAAAATCGGCAGCAAGAATTCTCTAACATATGGCAACTGCTAACAAACCAGTATGGGGGAAATACCTTCACTCTCTTCCTCTCTACCAGGAGAAAATACCCTCCCATTGAGCTGTTTGAAAAGGCACCTAAATCTTGTCAGTCATTCTGTGTGTAATTCAGAACTGATTATTACTACCAGGTCTCTTTATTCTTAGATTAAAAGAGCTGCTGTCACCTCGATTCCTCAGCCCATGAATTCCCAGAGTGACACTTAGACAGGGATGAGAAACACTTCCTTCCTCCCATAACTCTGCTTATTAATCCTGAAGGGAAACTCAATCTGTAGGCTTACCTCTTGAGAAAGAATGTAAATGGAATTTTACTGTCTCTAATGCCTTGGAAGACTTGATTGTCACAGAGAGAAGAGAGTTATTTCTACATCTTTTTAAAATTATTGTTGTCATTGTTGTCGTTGTTGTTGTTGTTTGGTGTTGTTATTTATCATTATTATATTTGTGAGGTGTATGGGGGCACACATGTACCACAGTACATCTGCAGAGGTCAAAGGACAACTTTTAAGAGTTCGTTCTTTTTTTATTATTATTATTACCTTTATGATGGTCCAGGTTTAAATTTGGATTGCTAGGCTTGTACACCACACACTACCCACTGAGCCATCCCATCAATCCCTCTGGAATTCCTCCTTCTAATCAAATGATTGCAGTAAGTTCTTACATGGGAAACAATTGTTTGGCTTCCCCATTCTTAACATCTGTATCTTTTTCCCCTTTTTTGACATTTAACTTCATTCATTCATTTATTTTTATGAGAGTTTTGTTCAAAGTGTTTGAATCCCATTCCACCTCCTCCACCAGAACTCTTCCCAGATCCATCTCCTCATCACTACCCTCCTAACTTCACGGCCTTGAAGAACAAGCAAAAGACCTTCAGTACTAATTTGTGCTGCCCAAATATCTGTGATGCGTGCAAGACCCCATTTGCATCTTGTAAGCACAAAGCTAAAGGTCACTTAAAGTCTACACTTGAAAATGTCTGTGTCTTTGCCCGAACAAAAATACAATCAAAATGTACTGCACAGTCTATATTCAATGAAAATGGCCATCTCCAAATGGTAAGTACATCCAGCGAGAGGAGCGCACAGGCACAAGCTGTCTCCTCTGTTTTGAACAGCTCATAGCTTCAGAAAGAGAAGTTTCTTAACTCGTGTTTACACCTCCCATTGGATCATACCACTGACCTTAATTGCATCTGCCAAAGGAGTTACTCATCTGCTCATGTACTTGTAGCCAGACGAGACCATTACTTCTCTCCCTCCTAGAACAACCCTCATCCTAGCCCTCTCCCTCAGGGGTGATGCTTCCTGTCTCCTACCTGTCCTACCTACTCAGTCACCTCCAAAAGTTGTTTGGCCTGCCAATAACTTCATTCTTCAGTGAAGGCTTTCTAATGAAAAGTTGGCTCAGATTAGAGGTATCGATGTAAAATATTACTTAATACAAAGCATCCATGGAGAAAGCCCTAGAAAACAATGACAACTGAGTGACTTGGAAAATGAGTTACTAGCCTGGCTGTCCAAATTCACATGTATTAAAATACAGTGTGCACACACATACATACATACACACACATACACACACAGTTGCACTCTGGCACACAGTTGTGATCTCTGGCCTAAATTATTGTCTTTTAGCAATTAAATTATTAGGGTATATCTGAAATATTGATACTTTTAAGGATTTACTTCATTATCTATTTCTATGTATATGTGTATGCCCCCTTTCTCTGTGTGCATGTGTGTGCATGTGTATGTGAGTGCCTGTGTGTGTGTGCATCTATGCACATGCATGTGTACCCACAATGCATTTGGGTACAAACAGAAGCCAGAGGACACAGATCCCTTGGGCTGGAGGTACAGGTGGTTGCGAGCCACCCACTGTGGGTGCCAGGAACCAAGCTCTGGTCCTCCAAAAGAGCAGCAGTGTTTTAAACCACTGAGCCATCTCTCTAGTTCAAACCTGAGAACTTAAGGACACCCGCCCTGCTTAGGGTACAGGAGAAAGAATTGTCATGCATGTCGTTGGGCAACTCCTGCAAGTCAGTACAGGAATGTAGCAAGCCAACTTCCAGCAGTGCACTGGGAACTTACAGGGCAAATCTATGATTCTCCGTTACTTACTGATGTATCAGATGACCTTGTTTTACATCAGAATGAATGAAGCACAATTAGAAAAGACTTGTTATGAATGGAAAATGATAGAAACAACATTTGTCCTGAAGCAAAGATGAAGGTTATCACCGAAAGACATATTATTGATTTCTACACACAACCATGTCCTTGGTCAAGAGAAAACTCTTTCCCAAGAATATAAGCTATTGCCTCTTCTGTATTATAGATGCTGCCCTCTGAAATGCATGTGAAATATCTGCCTTCCATTAACCATAAAGAGACCCTTAAAAGACCACTGATTAACCCTTTCCAATCGGAAGATGGACTCTCTAAACCCATCTGGCAACATCCAAGCAAAATAAATCCAACCTACAGATCCCTGGGGCTTAATTATTAGACTATGAAACCAAAAAAGGGGGTTCCCCAAATTTATGGGGAGGATATGATCACATGCCCACCTGCCTCATAGTCTAAAGCATTTGGTTACCGACACTTACAACAGGTAATTTAGTGGCCTGGTAACAGGAGCTGCCACAGGCAAACTCTACAAGAAGTTGGAGGCTAAACCCCATGTGACTAATTATCAAATTCCTGTTCATGAATTTAAACCCGTTTTGTTACAATTTTATATCAGAATTATATAATGCCCCAATGAATATTCACCATCAAAGAAGTATAAGCAATTTCCTGGTTTACCTCTGTCTGTCATTCTTGATCCAGCAGCTCTGTCTGGGACTGTTAGATGGTCTTGATTGTTATTCAATGAAGAAGTGTCATCACTAGACAAAGAGTTCAAAAAACCACTTTCTGATGTGACGGAGCTGTTTTCTGGGGCCTGGCAATTGCTCGCTTCTGAGAAGGCAAGTGTGTGGACCTGAACAGCAAATGTCAGGGGATGTCCCACATCTTCAGTAGCAGGCGAGCTGTTAACTATGTCAAGCCAGGAATGTCTTTCTTTAGATCCCGAGGAAGAAAACCGGCTGGGTGCCTTTACTGTATTTTCCAGAGAAGAGAAAGAACATGATGTTTCTCTCCGTTTAGGCGAAGAAGAGGATGCCCGCCGTGTAGCCTATTTTCCACAAATAAAACCAGAAGGAAGAGGAGAAAGAGACATTGTGAATTATCGTTCTCTCTGTTCTGGTTTTATTCAAATTTGTCCAGAATTGTTTGAAAAAGTGATCATGAATTTAAAAAAAGTCAGAGGGAAAATGTGTGACACTCATTTCTGTATGGCAGCTACCAAGGACAATTCTCTAAGAGCCTTTTGTGTGATTTTGAGTTTACCATATAAGATCTCCATAGCAAGGTTTTTTTTACTCAAAACTTTAAGCCTCTCCAACAACTTAAAGACCATGTTAGAACAATTCTTTAGAATGTTTGTGGGTGCAATGATAGCTTGTCATCTGTTTTTGATTCACAATGAAATGAGCAAGAACAACAGATGGAGGTAATTAATAAAAGGATAGAGGTTTTAGGTATGGCCCAGTAAAATACTTCCTAGCAGATGCAAGACCTTTGAGTAGCATTTACCTATTCCTTACCATGTGACCAGCTATCCATCCATAAATATCGAGGTTAAAAAATAAGCTAAAGACAAGTCACTTTAAAATTTTTAATTAAAATTTTCAGTGTTATTATTTTGTGCCAGGAATGGGGAGTCCATATGCCACAGCACACATTAGAGATCAAAAGAGTCCATTTTCTCCTTGCCATGTGTAGACTCCTTGCATTGAACTTGGATCATGGGGCATAGCAGCAAGCATCTATACCTATGGAGCCATCTTGCCAGCCCCAATCACTCACAACCTTAATATAGTTTCACTGAGTGAGGCAAGAATGTATTTATAGCCTCTGAATTCATGAGAGAGAAGCCAAGGTTGCTCCACTGATGGTGATAAGCAGGTTGTTGTGGGATTTTCTGACAGCAGTGTCCCAGCATCCTTTCCATGGGCAAATGATCACCCTGAAGGACATTCTACCTGTTCACAAAATACTAAGGCCACATCACCAAGAAGGACATTCTCTCGAGGCAGACACCATCTACGCTGAGATTTTATATTAGTTATATTTTGATGTTGCAATATTTTGAGACTTGACAAATGGCAATATTTATATGCACTGTTTCAGGGAAGTTTACGTTTTTGAATGTTATCCACACCAAAATTAAGATCCAGCAACATCTTCCACTTTTAACATTGTTCATGAATAAAATCTAAACATCTAAACTTCTTGTGTTCTGGGTTGCTCTGTGTCTCCCATGCATGGCATAAGACAGAAGGTAGTTTATGGTGCAGCTTCATGTTGTCATCCTATTGGATAGTCCTGCCAATTAGGCAAGTGGCAGGATGGAGATCATTAAAAAGAAAAAACATCTGGACTCTCTTCTGAAACATGGTAACCATGTCAGAACACTTACCTGTGTCTCAATACGCTGAAGCACTATAAATTTTCAGCAATCTGAGCTTTTAATGGGAAGGACTGCTACTGACTAATATATGTCTACTTGAATCCTCAGTGAACATAGGCCACCAAATGACCAATAAGTCTATGGCGCCCTGTTTTTATAATTACGTGCATGTGCTGTACATGTGTGTAAAGTGTTTCTACCTGCACTCCAGGAAGCCTGAGGATGATGTCGGAGATTATCTTCAATCTCTCTTCGACCTTATTCATAGAGACAGGATCTCTCAATAGAGCCCAGAGCTCACCATATGGCTAGTCTTCCAAGGCAGGATGCTCTAGGGATCCTCGGTCTCCACCTTCAAGCTGGAATTATGGCAAGCCATCGAATCCACCCCACATTTACTCAGGATCTGAGATCCGAACTCATGTGTTCTATAATTTTGCAGCAAACACAATAGCTACCCCCTATCTCTTCAGCCCCAGAAATAAACCTACTCTGAATATTAACATGACATTAAAATGCCCAGTCAGCTATGGTATGAGACAGAAATGTTTCATCTAGCAAAGTATCAAATAGCTTGGCAGCTGTCTTACCTTAAGTCACCTAGACCAATTAACAACTAAGAGATCAAAGACTCATAAGTCCTACTTCTCTAGGAGAGGAACATACAGGCCCCAACTTTGCCAAATAAATGCAGGGCTATTTTACCCGTTAGATGAATCTACAAAATAATTACTAACAAAAGCACGCATGCTGTTCCAGCCCCTGGACATTCTTCTGTAGTGATCTACTTTGATGAAGCTTGCCTTCCATTTGATCAGTGTTCCTCTGTTAAAGGGACTGAGCCTAAGCTCTGTCACTCCTGCTCTGCTGCTTTGATGAAACAGACTGTATACTCAAGTTTCGGCTACACTTGCTTTTTTTTTTTTAACCTCCAAACTCCCCTTAAGGGGAAGGGCTTGTTACTGAAGAGCTGCTCATTTCTGGTTAACAAAATGCTGGTAATATTCCTGTTGACTGTTACTCAGCAAAAATGCTCTCCTTCCACGTTCACAAGACACCACAAACATTTGTGGAGTTGCTTTCTTGTTTCCCTTTTGCTTTTCAGTGCATGTGTGCATGTGGGTGTGCGTGTGTGCATGTGCATGCAGGCACTGCTAGAAGCTAGCTGATAACCTTAAGCATCTCTCACAAACACAGTTCACTGTGGTTTTTGAGACAAGGTCTACCATCATTCGAAGCTAACCAATTAGGCTAGACTGATTGGCCAGTGAGTTCATGGGATGACTCCATCTCCATCTCCCCAGTGCCAAGATTATAAGTGTAGCACCACACACCAAGATATTTAAATAGATTCTGAGGTCAGACTCAGGCCCTCGGGCTTACAAGCCAAGCACTTTACCAACTGAGCCATCTCCCTGCCCTAGATTTTATTTTTAAAAAAATGAGTGAATAATGAAACAAAGAAAAAACAATGAAAAGAACTGGGTAAATTGGAAAGCAAACTGAGAAGGGAAAAAGCTTATGTGTCAGGCGTTGAAGACGGTCAAGGAGACAGAAAGTGATGACACCGAACAAATTGAAAATGGGGTTCATTTCAGCAGATTCCATTTGGAACCTTTTTTTTTTTTTTTTTGGAAAATAGCATAGTGTCAAAACATGGATTGTTGTTTCTAAGACTCCGAAGCTCCCAGTAGCCAACACTGGGCACAGAATCCTAGCCTTTTGTGAACTGTTGGTATCATATAATTACAAAATAGCAAAGGAAATGAAAGCATAAAGGCATAGGTCTGCCTTCCCTCCTCCCCAATTCTCTTTGACTACTGGGTCTCCCCTCCAAAGCCAGTTCACAGGCCTGGTCTTGTAAGAAGTCTCTGTAGTAGTGTCAGGCTGTGAGGTTACCATACCTGGTGCTGCTTTCTACTATACCAGATGAATATTATTTCATTTAACAATTTCTGTTGCCATTGCTGATTGACTGCTAAATCTTTTTTGGTGAGCTACTTGAAAACAGGCTGTTTTTAGTCATTTTTACACTTCCAATTTTTTTCCTCGCATCTGCGCTCAACACATAGTTGATAATAAATTAGTGCCAGGAAAGAATGGATCAGAGAAGCAGCTCTGTGAAGAAAATCTCAGCATGGTGGCTTCCTCACATCTCTATCAACTTGCTGAGTAGGATGGCAAACGTCAGGAGAGAGAAGAATTATTAGGGTCAGATAGACTCAGTAAACGTTTATAGATGCAAGCAACACGGCTTACTTTAATGAGGGAATCGCTAAAAAGGTGTGATTTAATTCATTTCTGAATGAGCTTGAAATACTTTCAATGAGATAATCGAATCTGTATGAATGTTGGCAGCTTTTAATTATTACACTTATGTCTCTGTGGGTGGATGCACATGCAAACACACACATGCACACGTGCACACATACACAGACATGTGCACGTGCACGCATGCACATGCCCATGCTCATGGAAGTCAGAGCACAATTATCATGGGAAATGGTTCCCTCTTTCCATCATGTGTGCCTCTGGGACCAACCTCAGGTTTTCAGGCTTGGCAGCAAGCACCTTTTCTACTGAGATATCTCACTGGCCAAACGATTATAGTTTTAACTGGTTGACATGATTAAATTCAAATATTTAAATTCATTTTCTCAATTTTTGTGTGATAGTATTGTTATTGGAGAACTTTAATAAAAGTGCTACTTAGCGCTAAAGTTCTTTTTTTAAGAAAATAATGTGTTCAAAATGTAAGTTCAACACGATGAAAAGTAATTGAAAATGAACACTGAAAGCTGGTAATTAGGAAGAAATGATTCAGCATAAGTCATAGCAGCATTAGTCAGGGTATCGTGGGAAAGGATATGGAAGAACAACACTGAATGCAACGAAACCAAATGATAACGGAGGACATACACTGATCTCCTTCATTTATTTATTTATTGGGATGTGTGTATCTGTGTATCTGTGTGTATTTCTGTGTGAGTATCTGTGTGTGCGTATGGGCACACGTTGTGGACTAGAGGAAGGGGGCACACAGCATAGCACACCTGTGGAGGTCAGAGGACAACTTCCTGGTTGGTTCTCTCCTCCTGTGGGTTCCAGGAATCAAGCTCATGTCAGGCTTACATACAAAGTGGTTTTACCCACTGAGTATCTCACTCTAGCCGATGAACTCTGAGCTCAACTCAGCACCAGTTCTTTGGCAGAATCTCCCCTAACTGGAGTACACAAAGCAATAATCCTACTGCCCCACTCTCCTGTCTACTCTCCTGGGCACTTCATAGTTTTATCTTCTTCACAATACTTATTACTACTTGAGGACATTTCTTTGAATGATTAACTTGTTGCCCCTCTTCAACTAACCACTTAATGATATTGATCCTCAAAAGTGTCCTCAACAGGACCTAGCAGGTGGCAGGTACACTAACTTGTGTATCAGCTGCCTGATTGACAAGTGCATCAAGAGAAGCAAATAATACAATGTGAAGGAAGATATTTTTGCTTTCTGAGACATGGTCTCACTGTGTAGTCCAGGCTAGCCTTCCACTTGGATTTCTCTTGCCTCTGTGCCTGAGAGCTGGGATTGCAGGCATGTTACACCATGCTCAGACGAAAGCAATATCCTTTGTAAAATATAAACATTTTAAAATTTCTAC